CCTACGTAAGTAAGACTCTCTCTCTCTCTCTCTCTCTCTCTCTCTCGCAGGTCATGCCTCTCTATCTAGGACATAATCTCTCCTGAGATGCTCTTCCCAATGACCCTAAAGGGTGACTTTTATGCCTTTTACTTGAAAACCACATTCCAAGAACACAACAAGAGTGGTGATCTTGGCCATTTCCAAAACTAACTTCATATTGGAGACAACACCATTCCTTTTAAATTTTTGTCATAATTTGAAACCTGATATATTGGCTAATAACAAGTAGCATGAAATAACAGATTAGGATATGCAGACCAGGAATGGAAGAATTAAAGTGCAGAACTGCAGATAATAATGACCATTAATATAAAGGGCGCAACATAAAGGAGAAAAAATTATACTGAGCAAAAATTGCAAGTAGATCCCCTTCAGTGAGGTCAAATGGAATGCCGCCAATAAAGATATAAGCAGAATCCCTGTACTTGGCATGCCATGATGCTTCTTCTGAAACCCCAAATGAAGCTTCTGTAGAAGTAATCTTTTGTATCTGCTTCACTAATGTCAAGGGATTCATGCCTCCTATGCTTATTTGTAAGCCCACTATCTATGTTTAATATTTCATATGATGCTTGAGCTGAAATAAAGAGAACCATGTGGACATGGTTAGTGAATGTAATTACTTAGGAGCATTGCAATGCAAGAAAATGAGGACATACAAAACAACCATTCTTATTGACACAAAATCATGAAAAAACAATGAAGGACTACAAGAAATAATTGCAACAATGGTAAACAGAAAATAGCAAGCAAGAATCTAAATGAAGAAAAACATGGTAAGGGAAGATTGAAATGAAAGGAAGGGGAGGGAATATATATATATATATATATATATATATATATATAGTTAGGGTTTGGACTTACTTTTTGTCCTCTATTGTTGTGTTTTCAAGATTTTTAAATAAGAACTTGTTAAACTTGTTTTCCAGTTTCCATTGAGAGCAAATTGTGCTCTGTTTGATGTAGTTGCCGATTCTGTTATGAAGTTTTTTCTTTTCTTTTTCTTTTTTTTTGTGAACAAGTTAAGTGAGTAATGATTTATGGAGAATGGGGATTGGCAGTTCGTTATTGATTAAAGTTAAATTGTTTTCACATATTTATTTTAGTTTTTCTTGTCATATTAGGGAAATGTGTAGCTTGCAAGGAAAAAGTAACAAGACCGGCTTTTTGGATGTCATTTTTATAGATAGTGGCATAGTTTTGATTATAATAGGGAAATCATCCTAATTGAAGTTAATTTCCCTGAAAACTAAATGGTGTTATGATCTTGTCTCTAAAATACTTGAAAAATGTACATTCATTTATTTTTCCATTTTTAATTGCAGTAAAACCATGGCTTGGGTGTGTTTGTTGTTGTTTTTTGAGTCGATATATAAGAGACTCGTATTAGGAAAATGTGTAGCTTGCAAGGAAAAAGTAACAAGACCGGCTTTTTGGATGTCATTTTTATAGATAGTGGCACAGTTTTGATTATAATAGGGAAATCATCCTAATTGAAGTTAATTTCCCTGAAAACTAAATCGTGTTAGGATCTTTGTCTAAAATACTTGAAAAATGTACATTCATTTATTTTACCATTTTTAATTGCAGTAAAACCATAGCTTGGGTGTGTTTGTTGTTGTTTCTCTCTGTATTTTTTGAGTGGATATATAAGAGAAATTTATCGAGCAGGATTCACATTTATCTTTGTTGTTTTAAAAATCTAGCTCTATTGCATAGAACGCATATATATTTCAAATTAAAATAGCTTCTTCACTTTAAGTCTAAGAAGGGTGAGGACCTTAAACTTCCTCAACCCATCCCAAGCCCGGGTAAAGTAGGTGGGTTGTGTTAGGTAGGCAGCCAACATAAAACTTTTTCAAAACTTTATAGGAATCTTGAATCTATGGAGTTGGCTACACGAATCTTGGTATGTCATTCTGCTCTATCAACGGCCATACCCTAAGTAAGGGCACAAGTCCCCATATCTTTTCTCACTACTTCCAACCATGTCCTTTTGGGCCTACCCCTTGCTCTTTTTTAGCCTTCCACATGAACCAACTCACACCTCCTAACAGATGTACTAGGTCTATGTTGCACATGGCCAGTCCACCTAAGTCTACTTTCTCTCATCTTATCGACTATTGGAGCCACACCTAAGTTCTCCCCAATATATTAATTTTGAATCTATCCCTTCTTTTCTTGCTACTCATCAATCTCAACATCCTCATCTCAGTTACACTCATCCTATAAGTATATTGTTTATTGACCACCTCACATTCTGCCCCATAAAGTAAAATTAGTCTCACAATTGTCCTATAGAGCTTCTCCTTTAGCTTCATTGGTATGTCATATAAAACTCTAGTTGCACATCTCTCCTTCGTAGACCCAGCTCTTATTCTATGGGTGACATCTACCTCAATTGCTTCATTCTCCTAGATTATCGACCTAAGATATCGATAATCTATGTGTGACATGCTCCTAGATTGATAATTTAGAAACATGGAGAGATTGAGGTAAATGTCGCCCACCCAGCTCTAATTTTATGTGCGACATGCTCCTAAGCACCCACCTAAGTTCTCCATGCCCCACCTAGGCACCTGCTTAGGAATTCCATGCCCTGCCTTGGCACCCGCTTGCAACTAGGTGTCACCTTGATACCCTTGGCCATGGACAAAAAAAGCTGCTGGTGAGGTTTTTGGGCAACATTCTAAGGATATGACCTAGAGGATGGTCCACACAAGCATGTCAAATATCTCTATCTTGATTATATTCCTATACTAAAGATGTTGGTGCCTTTCTGAAGATGTAGAGACCATTCCTCAAACCCCTCCCCAATCATCTTCTTGGTGCACAAGCTCTTGAAGACACCTAGAGATGGAGAAAAAGTTTCACTACAATTTAGTTTTTTAATAATGTTGACGGATAATAAGTTGCATAGGAAGAAGGAACATGATGGACTTGCGAAGGACTCAAAATAGGAGTGAGATTAATGGAATCTGCATCCCTATTGCATGCAAAAGAGCTGTCAACAAGGGAACCAATCTTGAAAATCAGCATAGTTTTCTTGAGTGTGGGTAAGGAAATGAAGTTTACCGTCATAAGCTCTATTGCTCAAATGGAGGATACAACAAGAATTTTACTGAGACAGCATCGTTTAACACTTCAAAGAAAGCGAGTTGACTAATGTCTCTACATCCCCTAAATTTTGGTCTCAATTATATAGGAGTTTATGTCCACCATGGTATAGAGTTCACCATGTTGAGAACCAAAAATAACCAACACTTTATTGGTCAAGTATTGGTTATAAGAGCAAATTTACAAATAAGAGAAAGCTGATGAGGCCTAAGGTTACTAGATTTTCCACCTCTGCTGGTCTAATAAAGGTGAGGACCTTCAACTTTCCCTTAACCCGTCCCAAACCCAGGTAAAAGAGGTGGATTGTGTTAGATGGACAACCAACACCAAACTTTGCTACATCTTATCATGAATTCTGAACCCATCCCTTGATAGAGAAGAATGGAGGAACAAGATTCATGTAGCCGACCCCAAATAATTGGGATAAAGCTTGGATGATGAAGATGATGAATCTATATTACTCAAAAAGATAAACACGACCCTGCGCTTAACTTTCTAAGCAATATAGACTCATCATCATCCAAGCCTTATCCCAATAATTTGTGGTTGGCTACATGAATCTTGTTCATCCATTCTATTCTATCAAGGGATAGGTTCAGGATTCATGATAAGATGTGGCAAAGTTTTACATTGGTTACCTATCTAACGCAATCTACCTCCTTTATATGAGCTTGGGGCAGGTTAAGGGAAAGTTTAAGATCCACTTATTAGACCAAAAGATGGTGGCAAATCTAATAACCTTAGGCCTCACCATCTCACTCTTATTTGTAAATTTCCTCATTATGGCCAAGACCTGGACAATAGAGTGTTGGTTATTTTGGGTTCTCAACGCGGTTGACTATACACTATGGTGGACATAAACTCCCATACAAATGGGACCAAAATTTAGCGAATGTGGAGGCACTAGTGAACTCACTTTCTTCAGAGTGTTAAACGCCCCTTTCTTGGTAAAATTTTGAGGTGCAAACAGCTCTCAACGAGTACACTTCTGTGATACAATCAGGCCGGAAATAACAATTTCTCAACCCTTGAGTTGCACACTCAAGAGACCTGTACAAAACCACAATCTCAAAATTATTCATTTCTTTACAATCAGTGGAATGCCATTAAATTTCAATTGGAAACAAAATTATAATAAACTTCTCTCTCTTTGTAGAATTTCATCCAACCAGTATAATAATGCTTGATAAACATTGGTTGGAAATGAAAATTTAACAGACTTCTTTCTCAGTAGAAATTATCTTCCAATCAGTAGGAATAAACTTCAATTTGGTATAATATACAAGAATAAATATTTTTTCCATCGATTAATTTGTTGACACCCTCGTCCTGAAATTTTGGCAAAGCCTCCCCAAAACCGCAATTGAGACAGAAGCTGACTTCAGTTTTTAGCAATTGGGAACCTCCCTAAACTGGTGTCAGCAATAACGGAATAAATTTCGGGACGAGGGTGTCAGTAGTTGTCTCAACAGGAATAAATTTAATGGGGACTAGGAGTCAGCTTCTATCTCAATCGCTAAAAACACGCCTAGTCCCCGTTAAATTCCCATAGGAATTAGATCAGATTTCAGAGGCTGATGATAACAGAAACACTCCTAGTCTCAATAAGAATTAAACCTGGTTTTGGAGGGTTATAAGGTGATGCAAATAAAATCCAGAAAAATTCCGTATAAAATTTAAATATAGGAGATGCACAACTTCGAACTGTAACCATCATTGTCATCTTATAAGCAGTTGTTAAAATGAGAGAGAGAGAGAGAGAGCTTCATGTAACCTCCTGTTAACTTAGTTGGAAGCTCGTCAAGACAGAGAGGTAATAGAGAGGGTTCGATGGCCAAAAACGAGCGAGAACGAGCTTCTTGTTAACCTCATAGAAAGAGAGGAAACGCCCTTACTAAGAGAGAAAACCTCTTTTAAAAACCCATCCTTTGTTTTTTTAAAACGAGCTTCCCCTTTAATACCTTTAGAATGATAAATCAACGTAATGTCATTGACGTGTTAGAAAGGGGGACATCAGAGAGGTAAAAAGGTAACTCCTTTAGAAGCAATAAGCCACTTTATAAAAATGTGGCCCTAGGTAAATGAATGGAGAGGAGGCTACAAAAGAGAGAGAGAGGTGATGGCACCTAAGGAACACAAATGACAAATGGACAGGCACAAGAAAAACTTATAATAAAAGGCGTGTTTTGAACAAACAACAAATAAAGCTATCAGAGAGAACATACAACAAACACATATGTGAAAGTCATGTGACATAAGTAAATTTTTGACTTCAGTAAGTTTTAACTTGACTCAACTAAAACTTAGTTACTTAAGTAACTTGAGTTAAAACTTTAAACTTTCGTAACTTATGTTGGGTTTTGTGGCCTTTAAAGGCCTAGAGAGCTTGTAAACATGAAATTTTATAGTAGAATATGCACTTTAGTTGGAGTGTGTGTTGACTAACCAAGGGTTGGGGGG